GGCTGAAGGATCTGACCTGGAAGCCAGGGGACAATGTCGAAGGTTCAGGCAAATACTGGAGATCCTCCAAAGCAACAGAAAAAAGCCTTCCTGCTTCGTTTCCTTTTATTCCATTCAGGCTACAAGCCTGTTGGTCAGAGCCACCCTCACCCAGGCTGGGTCTTCCGTCTCAAAATAATCTCTTCAGCCACACCCAGAACTAGGCCAATCCAAATTTACTGGGTGTCTCTTACTCAGGTTGACACAATCAGTTAGCCATCACAACTACCTTTAAGATTTTAGATGAATGATTATGTTCAAAAATAATCTCTGATAAATAAATAACATCAGGCTAAAACCCAGGTATGTTAGTTCTACATGTAGAGAGTTTGGAAGACACTATTTTATCCTGACATCGAGTGAAAAGCTGAACACACTGAAAAATGAACAACTCTTCTCTGATCTGTAAGAGAAGTAAGGACTCAGGAAACCAGTAGCCCCACACTGGAGTCAGTCACAAAGAGGGAGCTGCAATTCAGCAAGCAGAAATGTATGAGTTGCAGCAACCTCAGGAGGCACTGCTGGGGTAGGAAAATCTGCGTATAGCTGAATTGCTGGAAACTCAGAGTGGACAAGTCTGGTTCTCAGAAACAAAACAAAACTAGCTAATCAGAGTCTAATCAGGTGGGGTTTATCAGACCCTACTGGCCTGGTAGAAGGAGAATGTACAACTCTAGCCGGCTCTGATATCTATATGGGAGAAGGGAAATATCCAACTGCAGGCCAGTCTAGTCATTCTGCCTCTTACCTAACAGTAGGTGGGGACACAGACTGAGGAGCGCTTGTGAAGTCCACAGTTCAGAGGCCCAGGCTCACAGAGACGGAAAGCTAATTACATAGCTATGGAACATCTCCCCACCTTACACCTGCACATCACATTTCTAAAGGTCTGTGTTTAAAAAATTGTTTTTAATTTTTATTAGTACATGTTTGCAGTATGTAATGACTGTATTCATCATGGTGGGTTGATTCACAAATGTAATGCATCTTCTTTACTTCTCCTTCCCCTTCCTCCCTCCCTCCCTTCTCTCTTTACCTTTTGGTCTCCTGTTTACAGCACTTACTCTTACCAGCTATTGAAAAATTACTACGAGGCTTACTAAACTGCAAAAAGACAATTTCAAGAGACACAGCAACATGCACTGTAATGCACATATTAAATTATGATAGTGTTATTCTACAGATATGCAGAAGTATTGTATGCCAATTAAAATTTTTTTTGAAAAAAGCCAGAGGAGTGAACATAGTTTACCTATAGAGGAACAAAGTTAAGAATTTCTCTCAGTGGCAATGTAGACTGGTGCAACCACTTTGGAAATCAGTCTGGAGATTCCTCAAAAAACTACGATTAGAGGTCCCATATTATCCAGCTCTTTCCCTTCTGGGTATCTTCCCAGAAGAACTGAAAACATCATACCACAGTGATATATATGTGCACCCATGTTTATAGAAGCACAATTTGTTATAGCAAAATCTTGGAAACAACCCAAATGCCCATCAACCAAGGAATGGATAAAAAAGATGTAGTATTTTTATATAATGGAGTACTACACAGCCAGAAAGAAGGATAAACTTGACACATTTATAGGGAAATGGATGCAACTTAAGTCCATACTTATAAGTGAAATAAATCAGTCTTGCATGTGTAAACATTGTATTGTCTCCCTAGTGTAAGAAGCTGAAAGAGTAAACAAGATCCAAAATGTACAACAGATACTGTGAAATGGGAAGAAAGTACTCAAAAGGAAAGAGAAAATGGAATGGGGAAAAGGAGAAAAGAAGGAAGGGGAAAGGAAAAAATATATATACACACACACAAGATAGTTAAGATAGATATACTACTAATTGTTATTAGCTCAGTGAAATGATGGGTATATGCTTATATTGCTTGATCAGTTTTTCATGCCTATATTTTGTATTATGAGCAACTACTTTGATGATAACAAGGCACAATGTACTGAACAATTTTACTCTCCTACAATCTTGTTTTGAAATTTCATATCATTGTCTTATTTTTCTTCTCTTTAAAATAGAATAAAAAAGAATTTCCCTTTTCTCTCAGATGAAAGATAAGAACTTCTCCTGAGAGATCATGCATGGAAGAAGACAGTGGAGCAGAACATTTAAAATGCTAAGGTAAACCAACAAACACCTCACCAAGCTAGAATTATGCACCTTGTGAAAGTATAGCAGTACCCCAGTTGAACCCTTTTGTTTGTAAGCAATACTGTTGGCATGTGGAAGGATGCTTTACATATATTCCATCGAGAAAATGCAAATTAAAATTATGAGATACCACTACACATCCCTTAGAATGGTCACAAAACACAACACTGATCCAATGCTATTAAGAGTACACAGCAACAAAAATTCTCTTATTTATTGTTGGGGGAACAGAAAGCAGTAGAGCTGTTTTGGTGGATAGTTTGGCAATTTCTTATAAAACAACATTCTCTTACCATACGACCCAGCAACCTTATTTTTTCTGGCTATCCCTGGTATTTACCCAAAGGAAGTGAAAGTTTTATGAAGTATATCTATAGTAAAAAACTGGACAGAGGTATCTGTATCAGCTTTATATATAACTGCCAAAACTTGGAAGTAACTAAACTGTCTTTCGGTAGGTGAATGAATAAATTGAGGTATGTAAGACAGTGGAAAATTAGCACTAAAATGAAATAAGCTATCAACCATAAAAAATGGAGGAAACAAATAGATATTATGAAGCAAAAGAAGCCAACCTACAAATGATATATAGTGTGTGATTCCAACTATATGACATTCTGAAAGAGGTGAACAGATGCAAACAGAAAAATACTTATATAACGGCTAATTTTAGTAAATGTGCTGCCGAAACGAGCACAATATAATGGATAATAAATTTAAAACTTTTAAATGTTTTGTTGTTCTGTAAGGATGAAACCATGATAAGTCTGTTTTAATTGTAACATTAAATACGATTGCAGAAATGAATTAGTAATGACATAGAATCATTAGTGTGACAACTGCATAGGTATTGCTGAGGAGTGTCCAATGTGTGTTCTGTCAGCTGAGCATATAACCCAGGCATGAGTGTAAGGGTAGAATATGGACCAAAGGGAAGGCCTCAAGGCTCCTTTGAACATCATCAAACGTTTTTAATGCAAATTCCCCCAGGAATAAGTAGCAGATTTGTCTAGGTGATCATTTGCTTATCTCTAAGTGGGCTGGTTTTTTCTTGCTGGGGAACTAAAATTCTCTCATCTCCCACAATCTTTAGGGAAAGTAGAGAACTAATATAGTCCTAAAAATAAAATTATCAAAGCTCTCAGAAAATGCATCTTTCAAAGGCCTTTCTATTGCCATCATCTTGAACGGCAATACGATCTACCCATTCCACAGATTGTTTTATCATGTAAAAGCCTCTCCCCCATACTCATGTATTTGAAAAATTTACTTCAAATCCTAAATTCAACCCATTATAGACATTACGTGATTTATCATATCTCCAGAATTCTTAGGTACAAGCGGCACTTCCAAAATACCTACTGAGACAGACCTTGTCTGTCCTAAAACCTCGGGACTGTTACTTAGAAAGGCACCAGAATAACACTACCTTTGGTCAATGATAGGACCCTTTCAGATACATACTGTTTACAATCCCGGTAGTGTAAAACGCCAAGGTAATGGTCTTGGTCTATGATTTTCAGTTAAAAACAACAAGAAACTTTCTGATTGCTAAACATCGATCAGGAAACCTGAAACCAAGTACTGGGAATTCTTTTAGGAGTTCATAACCGAAGAAATGGACAGCTTCTCCCCAAGACAAATAAGAGTATTTTAAAATATTTTCTTCTAATTAATTTTTTTAAGTTTTCAGCGCTCCTGCTAATATTACGTCTTTGGTATTTTCACATCCTCCACTCAATCAACCTCAGGGGAGGTTGTCTCGGCGCCACTGTGAGAAGTCAGAGAGTCCAAAGTCTCCTCCGTACGTTCTGGGGCTTCTGTCAAAGCAGCTGTCCCACCTTGAACTTGCAGCCCTTTGCGATTAGCTGGAGGGGAAGCCAGGACGGAAAACTTTACCCTCCAGGGGAAGGAGCAAGAAGATCTCACACTTGGTATGTCTGAAGACTTGCTGGACGTTTTCACTTTACTCCCTCCATGAATGCCACCTTTCCATGAGCCAGCTGGTGCTCCGAGAAGGTGTGAGGCTAGACCGCGGTTCAGCAGCCGCCGACAGACGCAGCGCCCACACCGTCGGCCGGACCTGGTCTTTCCCACTCTGCAAAGGCACCTAACAGCAAAGCAAAACAAAATCAAAGCCCTAAACCCCAAACGCGAGGCCCCACGGCCCTAAGAGGGCGTAGGCAGATGCTCAGGACCCGCAGATCGTCGGCTCGGTGGGCCCGACGCAGGCGGGCAGCGCTCTGCACAGCCCGCGGAGGGCCACCTGGCCGACTGCGGGACGCAGAGCCCGCGCAACCCTCTC